GTTTAGAATACGGAAGAAAAAAGAAAAGGAAAACGAGACAAAGGAGGGGGGGGAGGGGAGAGGAGAGGGGAGGGGGGGGGGGGGGGGCACAGTTGGGTTAGATAAAAAAAAAAAATCCTGTAAAAATCTTCTTTGCATGCAGACACAATCATTAGTGTAAGCTATATGCATTCCAGAGGTACAGGTGTGGCAGGTGTGCTGCACTATCATGTCTTAGAAAAGCTCAGCACACGAGGACAGCAGGCACGCACAAACTCTTCATCTTACCCTGACAATATGGGACCCACACCCTGTTTGTTTTATCCTGGGTAGAGGCACACTGTCGTTAGGGGATTATAGCTGTAAAATCCATCGAAGAGTTAACTCTTTCAGTAATGTAAATGCCTCTGTTAACTTTCTGGGCTAGAGCTCTCCTTCAACTAAAAGCACTTCTTTACTTGGGATGACATTTGTATTACAGTGAGCTAATAACAACCCTGCTTAGTAGAAAGTGTAGTAAGAATTTTATGATGACTCTTCAACGTTTATGAAATAACCCTAACTACAATTGAAACGAACTCACTCCAAATACTGGTAGCTGTCTTAATTGATTATTTTGTAATTTTACTCCTTTTATAATCAGTTTTTGTGATTGAGAATAAATGTGCATTTGAAAATATGAAACTACTTCCATCTCAAAATGCTGACAACATCTTTAAATCAGTTGGTTGTTACTGTGATGTAAGCCATTTTCACACGTGAACACTGGATAAAATGTGGAGAATGAGAAAAGAATTGGGTCAGGAATATGTTTTTAACAGTTGGAAATTGTCGGTGCGTGATGCATTCTTAAACCTGCCAAAATTCCTGAAATGGTGTTCAGGTAGAGCAGACAGAAAGCTCTCTCTCTCTCTCTGTTTCGCTCTGTCTCTCTCTCTCTGTTTCGCTCTGTCTCTCTCTCTGTCTCTTTCTCTAATTCACAATATCTTAAATTGCACTAGGAACACTGGCCGCTCATTGAATCATTTGGCGTAGACAATGTCTCAGCGTTGTCCTCTGGCAGCCTTGGTTCTTAAATACAGCAAGGTGGCTCATTAGAGCCACAGCCGAGGAAAAATCCTCTGCCACTCAGGAGTTGCCAAAAGTTGATATGGAAACAAACAATAGTGTAATCTTTATACATTTTCCAGAGTTATTACTAGAAAGTTGGTTAGTAAAACAATGAAAGCAGTCTGGAGCAAATGTTGCAGACCTTTGTTTAAGTTCAAGTTAACTTTATTGTCATTTCCATCACATGTGGTACATGAGGTGGAACAAAATTATGTACACAGGGTCCCAGTTACTCCCCAAAATAGCAAAATATAAAGTATAAACAGAAACAGTAAGTAAGGATCTAAGATATGCACTAAATAAACGCCAAACGGTACGCTAAAAGATCTAAGACAGGCATGGGCAAACCCCGGCCCGTTGGACATTTTAATTGGCCCGCCGAAATTGTCCAAAATTTGGACAATAAAATAAAA